GCAGTTGGGAGTGAATAAGACAGAGAAAACAAAAAGATAACTAATAAGATAGGTGTTACTCATGTTTGTCAAGTGGGCCAAAAATTTTGTTTATTAATGGTGGACCAAAAGTTTTATTTTTTTAATAAGTTTGGGTGAATTGTGATAGGGCAAAGATTTGATTTCTTAATAAGTTTTGGTAGATAGTGGTGAGCTCAAGTTTTGTTTTAAATGAACTTAATTTTTTAATTCTTTTGAGTAAATAATGTAGACCTAACATTTTTATCTTGAATTTTGAGTGGGCACAAATAATATATTATACAAATATATAATATATATACTTAATTAATAAAAAAATAAAAATTTAAGAGGGGCACTTGCCCGCCGTGGCCCATGCCTCCCTCCGCCCTTGTTTATAGTCTAAGTTATCAAACTCAACCCGCTTTAGTTCCATAATTTACACCCATGTTCATGGTTTTCATGAAATTCGGTGGGGGTGTGGGGTTTATATGAGGGTTAAAAGGGTTGAACATATAAAATGACATTTATACTCTCATATAACCCAAATAATTAAATATTAAAATAATCAAGTATTACTCAAATAATCAAATATTAATCAATTAATCAAATATTTATACCCCAAATAATCAAATATTAAAATAATAAAAAAATCAAATATTTACACTCCAAATAATCAAATATTAAAATCCTGAGGCACAAAAAAATGTACGAACATGGTTTGAATTAGATTAATTAAGAGGAACAATAGTTATTTATATACAGATATATTATAATAATAGTGATATATCCGTACACATATCAAATATGGGTATGAACGGGATTAAATGTTAAATACCATATTTATAAATAAGGGTTTGAATTTAAAAAAATTTAAATTAGTTAAACTAAATCTTCCCCAAAAAATTAACCAAACATGCCCGTAGCGTCTTCTAGGAAGTTCTATTTCATCGTTTTGTTGACAACTGTCTTGACAGCCATATATGTTAAAGATGCGTCCAAAACTCAATATTTCAGTTCCTAAAAAGTTGTCCCATGCCAAACCCACTGAAGCAAATGAGCCAAATTTTGCACTCGGTGGGATTTGGTCATTGGTTATTCTCATTGTTTCTTATATTTTTTTGCCATTCTGGTTTGGATGGATGTATTTTTTTATCGAATACTCCTCCGTTATGGACAGTTAAGCAGATTTATAGAATAGATAAAATTATATGCACCAAATCATCTGTAGCTATTGCATTAATAATAAGATCCATTGATTCAACAGTTACAAATGATTTGATAATAAAGTCCAACGCAATTTTACTACTAATGCAATTTTACCACCAATGAGAAGACATTAATAAAGTCCAAGAGAGAGAGAGAGAGAGAGAGAGAAACGAAGGGGTAATGCCCAACTTGACAAATGATTCAAGCTCTTTGTTTCAAAGGCTAATTCTACGCAAAATGTTGAGTGGAAGTTTGGGTAATCGTTGGGCATACGTGTTGGAATTTAACTTCTAAGGGGACCAAATATCGTAATGATTAAGAGTTTATACAACCATTTTATTTAACAAGTTATTTTTTTTACAATATTTTTTTTTTTTTAATTGGTCGTCAAATTCATCAAAAGAAGTATTTTCAATTATAAGAGGAATGCTTATTTATGTGATCACAACTCATTTTGTTATTAAATGTCAAACAATTAAATTTTTTTGATTATACTACTTGAAAATCTAATGGGAAGTATATTATTTTTTGAAAACTTAAGGGGTTAAAAAATACTTTTTAAAAGATGAGGGAGGCCATGGCTCTCTTGGCCCCTTTGTATAGTAGAATTAAATTAAAGGTTTTGTCACCAAAATCGGCAAGGAAAAAGAATGCTATCCTTAAAGAGACTTGGAGATCCTCACCGTTACGTTCATACCTAACTTCCAAGCAAATTGCATTGATTATTGGTAATTTAGAAGTGTCAGACTCAATAATTTTTATATTTTTTTAGGAATTAGTCATCCTTATTTTTAAGTAATATGTTCTAAATACGTTTGAATTACATTGATTAGCATTCAAATTTAAAGAAATAATCGACACAAACTTAAATATTCTATATTCAAAAAAAAAAAAAAGAACTTTTATGTGGTGTAGTGTGTGTCTCCCCTAATGAAAGAGTGGTTATGAGTTTTAGTGGGACTTATTTATCGACTTATTTACTTATTAGTGGACGATTACACCACGCGACACTATCGACATAGTGGAACAGTTACTCTTAATATTTTTTTGTTAATAAACCTACATTTTCTCACTATTTCATGAGTTACGTGGAAATCCCATGTTGGACTAAACTTATTGAACTTAAAATCTGAATATTAGTGGCTGATCCACTTCACTTTTTTCCCCCATGGATTAAGACCCCCACTTAAGCATCAGTCCCTAAGACATAGGATTGCATTAATTATGGACAACTATACTGGTCAAAAGTATCAGTATAGCAAACATCTCACCTACTTATTCTTTTTTTGTTTTTTTCCGGTTCTAAACACCTATTTATTCACCGACTAATATATTCAACACAACAACCAAAAAAAAACTCACAATTCGATATTCTCGTTATTATGGGGTCTAGCCGTCTGAAAAGAGAATTAAATATACACAGACTTACCGTTTCATATAAAAAGACTGTTTTTACGATTTAAACTCTCGACTCCCGTGCCAATAAAATAACTTAGCTGCTGCACCAAATTTCATGAACTCTGTGCAATACAAATCATGCACGTTGAATCAATTAATATGCTGCTCAAGAAACTTAATATATATATATATATATATATATATATATATATATATATATATATATGTAGACCTTTTTAATGTATAATCATGCACACTAGTGAAAGTGAAACCTCCTGCTTAATAAGACTTCCACGTTTCTGCTTCCCCAATATCTTTTCCCACCGAACCAACCCACCCCACCCCACCCCACCCAGTGTTGGCCCCATTTTTGTCGTTTTTTACTTCCGCTGTCTTCTTAATCAATAATTTGTCAAATTTGTTAGGCTCGTCAACGTATAAATAACATTTAATACTTAAAATACACTTTATATAATTAAAATGCATGAAAAGATAATTACTAATTTTATGGGATTAAATTATTTATTTGTTACATTCTTGCTGATTGAAGACATCACATAATAATATTAACGTGATATAACTATTCCATTAAATCTTTTATCCAAGTTGGAGGTTTCGCATGGCCACTTTTGCCCACTTAACCCACCCTGAAAAAATCGTTAATAATTTTGGGTACTCAGGTGTTTTGCAGCTTTTGCTAGACATCAGTCCATTGGTCCGACCAGAGAAGAAAGGCCACCTCTAACTATAAGGTTTTGGCCCAGCCCATCTCTCTTGAGTTGGGCCCGTTAAACAATGTATCAGAGCCTGCTCATATTTTCTTTATACTAGTCTGATTTGGGTTTGTGTTCGTAGTGATATTACCTCTCTAGGATTTTTGGGCCAGTGGGAAATTTTTCGACCAATTTATATGTATCTCGATTAATTCCCTTTTCGATCCAGTCAAACCAAGACTAAGTTAGTTATTCAAGAGGAATAAATATCTTATGACCTAAGAAGGGCCAATTTCTTTTGCTGTCAGACGCCCTAGAATGGTGGTTGAAGCTAACCTGTATGCTCGATGTAGACGAATACAACGAAATCAGTGGGTGTAAAGTTGCCCATCGGTCCATTACTGTTTCAGGATGCTAATGGAAGCTCGTGTGAAGAGACAAACCAGTGAAACAAAGAGACCGCTCCTGCAGCATCCACTTCCTCCCAAAAGTTACCTCCCACAAGCAGAGAAAAGCATTTGCCAAACCTGAAGAAGTGAAGATAGAAACATCAAAGGGGCCTGCAATCATGCTGGAACCCTGATCAAGGAGTCCCTGCAATATCCTGATTAGCTGACAATGACATGAAACACTGTCTGGACCTTGTGCGTGTTGGTGTTTGATTGTGGACACAGCAATAGTTCCCTATATTAAAGGTTGTGGAATTGGATTCTCTGTTACAGATCATGTCTTGCCAGGCCGAAGAAAGAGCATTGGATGTGTCGACCCCTGCTACGCAAGGAGAGGGATATCCAATTTCATTTTGCAATATTCCCAAAATGTAAGTTTTGGATGAGTCTTTGGTTGGAATTGTATCTGTTAGAGACCATATCGAGCACTGGAAGGGAACCTAGTTAGTACTCAGCCATGCAAGGCGAGGCATATCCCAACTCATCTTGGACATGGCAAAAAATGGGGTGGGGAGGGGATCACCAAATGTTCAGCTCGGAACTATCCGCATTATTTAGGTGCTAATTTGGTCAGCAAAAAGAAAGGAAGTCAACATATAATTCAACACTTCGGTTGACGATCAAATTCCTATATGTTGCCTATTATAACCTCACCAAAACATAAGACTGACAAAAATGTGTATTATAAGCTCACCAGAACATCAGACTGCCAATAATGTATACTCAACAGACTGAAAGAACCTGAATTGATTTGATCCTACTAACATGTAACAGAAGATGCAGCATAGTTACCAAAGCATATTAAAATCACTAAATTCGCATCGTTTCAAACCTTAAATCATCAAAATTGAATGCTAATTACAAGGTTTTTCCAATGTAAAATGATCAAGAAGGCACAAACATCAGAAGTTCTACCAAGTAACAATTGATACTGTATAAAAAAATAAAATTTATAACTCAAGCAAAGGAATACAGTTGGGCTGAAAACCTGGAATTGGTCACAAACTACAAAATAAAGCTATAATGTAACACTAGACTCTGAACTATAAAACACAGAACAGTGAAATATAGTCAAAATAAAGAACAGCAAACCTTATATCCCTACTATATACAGTTTCAAATCTACACCTCATCGCCACCAAGCAGTTCCCACTGAAAACACAAGCCAGACACTAGTCTCAAAAGATCTCCATTTTCAAATAATTCCACAAAATCAGTCAAATTATAAACAAATTCAGTTTCTAGCCCCCGAAAAAGGAGAAAAATCCACGTTTTTCGGCTCCTCCTCCACCAACACAGCCGTCATACTATCCTGCTCAACCAACCTCCAAGCGGCCTGCTCAAAAGCCAACCCAGCCAACGTTGGTGGTCTATTCAACACAAGTGGGTAACCCCTATTTGTACTCCGAATCACCTCTGAATCCTCCGGAATCACCCCCAACAATGCCAGCCCCAACATCTCCTGAACATCAAGAACAGACATCATATCTTCCCCTTTAATCATATCCGTCCGAGACCTGTTCACAATCATCTTAATATCCCTAATTCCATCGCATTCCAACAACCCAATAACCCTATCAGCATCCCTTAAGCTGGTAATGTCCGGTGTGGTGACCAAAACCGCCTCATTCGCTGGCGTGATTGCCGTAATGAACCCTGCGTCAATACCAGCCGGACAATCTATTAGTATGAAATCGGGGCAACCTTCTTGGCGATCTTTTAGAGCTTCAACAACCCAAACTAGGGCTTTCCCACCGAACCCAATTGGGAGTTTGGATCTGGGCTTTGATATACAGAGCAATTCGAAATTAGACCAGCGCTTGTCGCGTACTAGGGCTTGGTCGAGTCGGCAATCGCCGTTGAGGACCTCAACAACGGTGTAATTGACGCGGTTTTTCGAGGCCCAATAGAAGGTCCAGATTGCGGAGGCCGACGTCGGCGTCTATGGCGACAAACGGAGAATCCGTGGCGGGCTAATGAGAGGCCGAGGCCGACATTGGGCGGTGGTGGTGGTCTTGCCTACGCCGCCTTTGCGGAGGTGATGACCACGACTCTTGGGGTTTCTCCCGCTAATTGGGGCTTTCGGTTGTATTGTAGGACTGATTGGG